TGTGTCAGCTTAACCTCTCTGTGCCGCAGTTTCCTTATCCACAAAATAGGGATAATCATGGTACCTTTCTCATAAAGTCCTTCTAAGGATTTGATGAGTGACTAAGCATAAGCCACTTAGAACAGTGTCTGGCTCCGAGAAAGTGCCAAGTATGTGTCTGCTATGATAAATGCTACCAAGGGAAAACTCACTCAGACAGACCAGAGCTCCTCTGCTTCTCCACTGGCTGTGTGATCTCAGGCAAATCAACTAACCTCTCTGAACCTGCATTTCCTCACCGATTAAGCAGGATAATAATAACTAGCTGTCATGCTGAAACCGGTTTGGCTCAGTGGATAGAGCGTCGGTCTTCGGACTGAGGGGTCCCAGGTTCGATTCCAGTCAAGGGCATGTACATTGGTTGCAGGCACATCCCCGGTAGGGGGTGTACAGGAGGCAGCTGGTCAATGTTTCTCTCTCATCGATGATGTTTCTAGCTCTCTATCCCTCTCCCTTTCTCTCTGTGAAAAATCAATAAAATATATTTTTAAAATAAATAAAATAATAACTATCTGTCATAATTAAGGCAAATTAACATATGCAAAGCACCTAAGTTCTTGTGCGCAAGGAACATTCTTACGTATCTCTCAGGAACCCAGCACTGGGAAGTGCTCAGTTGCTGGAAAGAATTAATCCCTTCCCCAGCCACCTGGCACCCTCCATCTAGTGCTAGCAGACAGCACCACCTAGTGGAAAGCTACGGCACTGCATTTAGCTAGTGCCACTGGCCAAGCTGCTGTGCAGTCCTTTAAGCCTTTTTATTTTATTGATTTTTTACAGAGAAGAAGGGAGAGAGATAGAGAGCCAGAAACATCGATGAGAGAGAGTCATTGATCAGCTGCCTCCTGCACGCCCCCTACTGAGGACGTGCCCGCAACCAATGTACATGCCCTTGTCCAGAATCGAACCTGGGACCCTTCAGTCCTCAGGCCAACGCTCTATCCACTGAGCCAGACCGGTCTTGGTCCTTTAAGCCTTTTTAAATATGCACTCTGCATAGGACAGGAATTAGGTGCCTGCTGTGACAGGACACGGATCCCAAACCTAAAGAAAATCAAGATGACTCAGAGGAGTGCAAAAAAAATTACAATTATCATCAGTACCCTGTTTTTTTATCTTAATGAAAATATAAACACACGTAGAAGGACTTTGAGCACAGGGCAGTGTCTTCTCAGGAAGCTTTGCGATTTCAGGACTGATTTCGAAATGGCCATCTTTGTGTCAGTGGCTCTCAGTTAAGACCAAAGCGATGGAATGAAAGCTTAGGTCAGAAAGGTGATTCCCGAGGGGAGGGGATCCATGGGGGAAAGGAGAGGGCATCTGTAAAACTTTCAACAATAAAGACACATTTCTTAAGTGCAAAAACAACAAGAAGGGTCGTGACCCAAGATAGACTGACTTAGTCTGCCAGGTTCTCCACGGAGAGCGGGAGGGAAGTGTGTGGCTCTGAGCTCATATTCTTCGCACCCTCCCCCAGCGCGAAGAGGGCTGGGCTTCTTCATAAAAGAGTGAGAGGGTCTGGAGGGGGCATGCTCACATCTCACCGTGGAAATCAAAGAAGGCTTCCTGGAAGCGTTGGCCTTTCCAGTGGGCTTTGGAGAAGAAGGTGGAGAAAGGGTTGGCTGGCTGGGGAAGGGGGAGCCTTCCAGGGGGGTGGATCACGCCGAGTATGAAGTGAAAGAACAGGGATGGCTAGAGAGGAGAGCTAGGGCCAGCGCACAGGGGGATCCGAATGACAGGCTCCGGAGGAGGCCTGCAATGCAGTCAGGATCCCCACTGAGGAAGGAGGCAATCTGATCTGAGATCAAGAAAAACCAGACACAGAAACTCGTTAGGTGGCTGCTGCGGTCGCCCAGACTCAGCTCACTGGGAGCCATGCTGTGGTGAGAGGAGACAGGAGGGGCTGGCAAGAAACGTGATGACATCAAGAAGATGGGGAAACGGGGGTCAGAGGGCCCCTCCAGGGCATCCTGGGCTACACTGAGGACCGAGCTGTCTTCCGAAACATCATCAGTGACACCCACTCTTCCACCTTCGATGCTGGGGCAGGCATTGCCCTCAACCACCACTTTGCCAAGCCATTTCCTGGTATGGCAGTGAACTTGGCTACAGCAACAGGAATGGTCCATACAGCCTCCAAGGACCACCAGCCCCAGCAAGAGGCAGAGAGGCCCTCAGAGACCGGGGAGTCCTCACCCCAAACAGGCCCCCCACCCCGCTGAGAACCCCCTGACCTGCAGTTTCCTTCTCTGACTCCCTGACGAAGGGGAGGGACGTAGGAAGCCCTACCTTGTCCTGCATCATCAATAAAGTACACTAGTGAGAGAAAGATGAGAGAGGGAGGGAGGGATAGCAGTGGGTCAAATGAGAAACAGGGTGAGGATTCAGGGAGCTGAATCTTGGGGAGGGAATGGGAAGAAAGACAAAACTGTGACCAGAACGTAGACATGACTAGGGAGGTTGGTGTGGGCAGGGGATGGAGACAACCGGTTTGGTCATTAATGGGGAGGAATGAGCTGCCAGGATCTATGAGACCTTAGCTCAGGAAGCTATGAGACCTTAGCTCAGGAGCGGGGCTGGCTGGCCGGGCATGAGGAGACAGGGACAGTCACTTGGGAGTCACCCACGCAGGTGCACGCTGAAGATTTGGGAGAGGAAGACAAAGGGAATCGCCTGGGTGAGAGAGAGGGGGGGTAAACACCCACTGGACCTCATTGGGCTCCCCCCTTTTTAAAGCTTCCTGAGGACAGAGGCGGAAGGGGAGGCACAGAAGAAAGGGACCTTGGAGAGAGAACCAGGAGACCTTGGTGTGTGTCCAGCAGTGCCATACCTCATGCAGAGACCCGGGGTCAGAGCAGCCAGGAGGCAGCCATTGGCTCTGTGGTTGGGGAGAGTGGTTTCAGGAGGTAGAAGTCAAACCGGAAAGATTTAAGAGGCGAGAGGCAGAAGGTGTGTGGGCAGTGGCTGTGCCTCCCAAGAGAAGGGAGGTGATGGTGAGCAGGGATGGATTAGGGTGAGGTCGGCCCCAAGGCCCTGGGGACAACATTGAAGGAGCCACTCACCCTCAGGGCTATGCAGGTGACCCTAATAAAAAGAGGCAGGCCAAGGCCCACAGCTGCCAAGAGATAGAGGCCCAGCCGAAACCGGTTTGGCTCAGTGAATAGGGCATCCGTCTGTGGACTGAAAGGTCCCAGGTTCGATTCTGTTCAAGGGCATGTACATTGGTTGTGGGCACATCCCCAGTGGAGGGTGTGCAGGAGGCAGCTGGTCAATGATTCTCTCTCATCGATGTTTCTAGTTCTCTATCCCTGTCTCTTCCTCTCTGTGTAAAATCTATCTTTTTTTAAAAAAGAATCAGAACTTTGAGAGAGAGAGAGAGAGAGAGAAAGAAAGAGAGAGAGAGGATAGAGGCCCATAAAGCGACCCTCTGAGATGAAAGGGGAAGAGAGGACCCTGGGAGGGAACTTAGAGACCCAACAGAAGCTAAGACCCTCGATCTCCACAGCCCACAGAACACCCGGTGGCCAGCGGCCGAGCCTGGACCCTCAGAGAAGGAACATGAAGGGTGGGGGAAGGGTGGGGAGCGGGCAAGTCTGGGAACAGGGGTTAGGGACACCCGACCTGGAGCAGCCAGGAACCCAGGGCGGGAGCGGGGAGGGAGAGCGAGCTTCCTTGGACCTTCCTGGGGAGATTGGATTGAGCTTCCTTTCCTGGCGGGTATTGGGGGAGGGGAGGCCCAGCATCTCTGGGGTCAGCCTGGGGAAAGCAAGTTGTCCCATTCTACCCTCTCCCCAGGCTGCTCCGATCCAGGGCGACCTGCGGCCCCTGCCCAGAGAGGCTGCACTCCACCCGGGCCCTAAGCCCCAAACACGTTCTCTCCTTCCACCAATGGTGGGCGAGTCTCCTTCGCAGACGCAGTCTGCAGGGGGTTCATGAACGGGATGACTGTGTCCTCACCCCCTTCCCTCCAGACCTGTGAGGGTGACCCCCTTTGAAACAAGGGCCTCGGGGGATGTGATGCCATTGGGTGGTCAAGACGACCTCAGGCTGGGTGATCGGAGGGGCCCTAACCCAGCGACAGGACCCGTGTAAGAGGCAGGAGCGGGGAAGGCCATGAGGAGCTGGGGAGTGGACGGATGCCCCGGCTCCCCGGAAGCCGGCAGAGGCGGGCAGGGGCTCTCCCGGAGCCATCGCAGAGGCCCTAGGGCGGCCCTGCCAGCAGCTCCATTTCACACTCCGGCCCCCAGAACTCGGAGGAAACATTTCTCCTGCCTGCAGCCGCCGCCGAGTGTGTGGCGATTTGTTCTGGCAGCGCTGGGAGATGCGTGTAGCTCGCTCCCTGATCTGTAAAATGACCAGGAAGTGCTCAGGGATGCTTCCAGCCCTGAGTCTCCCAATCCAACCTTTCGGCAAAGAGGGGAGTTCCAGGTCTAGTCAAAGGTGCGCCCTCAGCCCTGCCCCTGCCCATTGAGATTTCCTCCGTTCACTGGAGGAGGAGGAAGGCCAAATGAAGGGCCCACCCCCCATGACCCACCACCCCTTCCTCCTTCGCCCACAGCTCACGCCATCCTCGCAGGCTGGTCAAAAGGGCCAAAGCTCACCCGGACCACACAACTAAAGGCGAGGATCTTCTCCAAAACAGGACGCGGCCTTTCTCAATTTGTCCTTGCAAGCGTCACCCCTTCTTCACACTCTCCCCTCACCCCCTCTGCCTCCCTCAGTCTTGGGGGACAAGATACGAGGGATCCCCCCAAGCACGGGAATGGAAGGCACCCTCCCGCCCTCCCCCCTCTTCCCACGGCACAGCTGGAGGGGGGAGGGGAGGTCAGCCGGGTTCATAAAGGCCAGATGTTGAAGAGAAAGAGAGCAGGGCCCACCCCACGCCCACCACCCCACCCCCACCCTCACCCCCAGCAAAAAAAAAAGTAACCGAGAGACACGGTGTGAAACACGAACACAAGTTTTGTGGTCCAAAACAGTATTTATCAAGGATCTGCTCTATGCAAACAATAACTTTTTACAAAGCATTTTCACAGAAAAGGAGACAAGTCCTTCCCCAGGATCACATGTGAGAATTGTTCCTCCCTCACCCTGTTTGGTGGGGATAGGGGGCATGACTCGCTGGTGTGGACAGAAAGGTCCCGGGTCCCCATGTGGCTGGGCAGATCCGCGGCCCCCAGGTGCCCCTCACACCTACACGTGGACCCTCACGGAGAGTTCACCTCCCCCGACCTCACCTGGGTGGAGGAGAAAGCCCCTCCATCCCTCCAACCCTAAGGGATCCTCCCAGCCTGAGGGCGTGGTCCAGGCCGTGCTCTCCCCTCCCCCCACAAAACAGAACCTCTGACCTCAGGACTAATCCCCTGGCCCTGCCCCCTTCGGATCCATCAGGTCCCTGACAACTCCCCAAAGGCCGAAGGAAGGGGCCAGCTGAGGGTACCGCAGCCCGCTCCCCACCCAAACCCCCACGCTGCCCCTCCAGACCCCAGTGACCCTCGTGTTCGGGCCCAGAGCCTTCCCTCCACCCCCCCACCCCTCCAGTGTCTATCTCTGAAGGAGGCCGAGTTTAGTGTCCAGAGGGACCCAGGCCTCCCCTCTACCTCCACCTCCTCCCACCCACAAATCCGTGCAGAGGACCTCAGAAGGCAACTTGTTGGGTCTGATTGTATTGATTTCTTCCACCTTCCATTACTTTCCCTGGGAAAACCTCTGGCCCCTTCCCCAGGCGAAGTCTGCCCTTTGCAGGGGAGGAGGTCCCTGGGCCCTGCCTCTCCTGCGATCTAATATGGGGAGCAAACTGGGGGAGGGGTTTGGTTGGCCAAGGGACACCTCTTTGACCCATTAACTGAGAGCAAACAGGAAAACTGACGAAGGAAACCCGAAAACCGAACAGAAGAGGAAAAGTTGGTGGCTGAGACCGAGGATCTCAACAATCAGGGGCGTCTCCTGACTTGGGGGCCCTTAGGAAACGAGGTGATCGTCAAGCTGCTCCCCTTCCCCCCAAGAAGGCTTCTCGGTGCTCAGGACGCTGGGAAGGCCTGAGGGGAGTCAAGGGTTAAAGGCCTAGCTGGTGCGGATGGGGGCATCCAGTCACCCGGGGAGCTGCCAATCACCTCCCCACCCCCATCTCGGGCCCCTCATCCCCGAGCTGGCCCACAGCGACCGGTTTGTCCATCACCAAGGTCTCTCCATCTCTCTCCGCCTTGTCGTCCAGGTGCAGCGTCCCGTGCTCCCTTCTGGGGTGAAGGCACCGGCCCCCCAGAGATCCGAGAAGGAAGAGCGGAGAGACTGGAATCTGCGTCGTTAACTCTTCCTTTAAGCCTTCTCCCGACTCCGGCCTTCAGATCCTCTCGGGTGGATGAGGGGGAGGGGGTGTCACCCCAACCAGTTAGGCGCTTGAAGATCACTGTCATTTGAGGTCCCTCTGACCACACAGCCCATCACACGTCAACGGGGGAGGCAACACGTGAGAAGACCAGCCCGCAGTTTGCCTGTGACCCCCAACGTTTTCCCCTCTTGGCAGAGAGGTCCCGCGTTCAGAGGTCCTCCTCCAGGTGGCCCCCCCAGAACTTGACGCCGGGGGGCTCGGGGACGGCGGGGCCCCCCACCTGCCACCTCCACAGCGGGTGGGCGGGCGGGGGCTTGGCGGCGTCTCCCCGCAGGCGGAGCGAGGCCGCCGGGCCCAGGTCCCCGTCCTCGCCCACCAGCAGGGCGGCCGGGCAGGGGAAGCAGTCCAGGAGGCGGAAGGTGCTGGCGGCGGGGAGCGCGGGCGCCGGGCGGCGGGGCTGCGCCGGGCGCGGGGGGCGCGCGGGCCGCCGGCGCTTCTTGGCGGCGCCCCGGGCGGGCCCTCGGGCCGCGGGCCGGTCGGGGCCCCGGCGCAGGCTCGGCGTGTCCAGGGCGAAGCCCTTTGCGTAACACCAGAGCTTGGAGCGGCGGATCAGGCGGTCGAAGTGTTCCTGGCGGAGGTTGCCGGGCGCGGCCGGGGCCCCGTGGGCCGTCGAGGGGCCGGCGGCGGGCGCGGCGGGGGCGGCCTGCGGAGGGGCTCCGGGCGCGGCGGCCGTTTGGCCGGGCGGGGGCGGCCCCCCGGGCTGGAGGGGAGGGCCCGCAGGTGGCGGCGGCGGCGGCGGCGGCGTGGGGCCGGGCTCCCGGTGCGGGCTGGCGGCGGCGGCGGCGGGCCCAGGTGAAGGATCCAGAGCCAGGGCCGGTCTAGGCGGGGCCGAGGCGGGGCTGGTGGCCGAGTCCCGAGGGCTCCGGGGCGCCGGGCAGCGGCCGGAACGGGCGCCCGGGTGCGGGAAGCTGCCTCCGCCCTCTTCCTCCTCGCGGCGGGCCCGGCTCGCTGCGGCGGCGGCGGCGGCATCCTGGCCGGCGGGGGGGCTCGGGGCGCCGGGCCGCCCGGCCTGCCCCGCGGGGGTGCTCAGGCCCTCCGGGGCCCGGCGGCCGGGGCGCGGCGAGGCGCGCGGGCCCAGCGGCAACGGAGCCCGCGGCGCCGGCTCCCCGGGCCCGAGGCCCAGCAGGGACGCCCGGGGCTTGGCAAGGGCGCAGAAGGCGAGGGCTCGCAGGCAGAGCGGGGAGAACTGCGGGCTCCCCAGGCGCGGCTTCCTGGGGGCCGCGGAGCAGGGCGACCCTCGCGGGGACGCCGGCACCGCGAGGCGGGGAGCGGGACACAGGGTCTCCATGGAGCCGCCTGCGGGGGCGCCCGCTGCGGGAGCCCAGGTCCGAGCGGCGGGATGCCCCGGCTGCCCGAAGAGCCCGCGGGCGAGGGGAACATCGCCCCCCCTCGACGGGGAGGTCTCCGCTCACGGCCGCCCCCGGCCCGCACCCCCGGGGCCGCGCAGCTCTGGCTCCCCTTCCTCGGTCGCTCACGCGGCCCTCCTCCCGGCGGCCGGACTCCTGGGTCCCCGCGAGTCCCTGCGCGGTCGGTCGGCCGCCCTTCCTGCCGCCGCCGCGATCCCCGGGCAGCCCGCCCCCGCGGGAGCCCCTCTCCGGGAGCCCGGAGCGCGCGGAGGCGGGGGAAACAAAGCCCCCGGCGGCCGCGGGAGGCGGGAAGGACCCCGGGCCCGGCACCCGGTGCCCGGGCCCAGGCGGCGGAGAGGGCGCCTTCCGCCCGCTCGGCTCCTTTCTTCCCCGCTGGCTCCGGAGACCGCGTTCTGGAGCACGGCCCCCTCGCTGCCCCAATACCAGCGCCGGGGCCGCGAGCGCGCCGCTGATTGGGCGGCAGCGCCCTGACGTAGACAGGCCCCGCCCCGCGGCCCCGCCCCCGGCCCCATTCCGCGCACAGACAGACACACGTGGACCCGGCGAGGCCGCGGAGCGTGCGCGGGTGGGTGTCGGCGCCGCGCTGCACGTGGCCGGGAGGCGCCCCGAGCACTCGGGCGTCGCCGTGCAATTCGCGTTTTCCCTCGGCGGTCACGGTCTTCGCATCCGTAGCATGGGAACGTTCACGTCTCCCCTCCTGGGGCTACGTGAGCGAGAATAGATGGAAAACAATGTGGGAGGAGAGGAGGGGATGAGGCGATGGTGGCGTACCAGCCTCAGAGAAGGCTCCCTGCCTCTCTGCCCCAGGCCCCTAGAACGCTGGGGGTTCAGAAAACACTGAGGGAGGAGTGAGGAATTGAGTGAGGGTGCCAGGGGAACAAAGGAAAACATAAATTCGGGGGAGGGGGAAGGTGTTATGACGTCACGGAAGACGGTAGACTTTCTCAGTACCTGTTTCCATTTCTCTCATTGCAGTTTCTGAACGGCCTCTGGACCAAATTCCGAGCGGCTACCTCCAGTCCCCCCCTCAGATCCCACGACTCTGCCCTCTGGAGTCTTGAATTTCAAAAATTGGTGGAAAGAGGCCAGAGGGAGGGGATGCACAGACACCCCAAAAAAAAACAAACACACACACAAAAAAAACAGTAAAGCAAAGAAAAAGTGAATCCCCAATTAAAAAAAAAAAAAAAAAAAAAAACATAATGGAGGACCACCTCCCCGCAGCGCGGTCTATTTCTCACCCTTCTTTCGTTTCTGCAGAGCCTCCGGTGAAATGAGAGTCTTAATCACCACTGCATCCTCACTGCCTTGACCCATGCCCAGGCGTAATAGGTGCTTAATAAACACGTGTAAGTGAATGAAATAAATACTCCCCAGAATACCTTCTTCTTGATAAAAATCAGGATATCGGAATATGGCCACCTCCCATCCCCAGAAATACAAAGAGAGCTTGGCAGGATGGCTTGGAGTAAGGGGGGAGAAGGGGGGTGAGGGGTGCCACAAAAATACCTCCTTCTGGGGCTGGGATAGGAGAGGGCTCCTGTAAGGGTCCCTCCTGGCCATGGCCACAGAAGCAGTGTTTTCCTACGCCTCAGCAAGTAACGTCGGATGGAAAGGAATTAGGACGATTCGCCTCCCGCTGCTCTTTGCAGAGGCCAGAGGCAGGCCTCGGGGCGGGGCTTGAGTTTAAGGAATGGGGGAGGAAGCGGTTCTGTTGCCCAACACTCTCACCCCCTGACAGGTTTCCAGGTGTCATGCGAGGAGTTCCCAGGGTCCCGCTGGTCTAGACTTCAGGTTCCTAGATGCCCCAAAGGCTCCCTGCCCCCTCCCCACCCCCCCCCCCCCAAGAGAACAGTCCTAGAAGGATGATGATCTTCACGGCTGCTCTGGGCTGCTGTGCTGAGAACTCTCACCGAGACACAGCGCCTGGTTCTGCTTGTGGGGCAGAAGGGCGCCTGCCTCCACCCACTCTGCTCCAGCCTCTCTGCAGCTGCGATGCCGGGAGAGAAGGCCGGGGCCCCCTGCAGGAACCCGGACAGCACAGATCCATGGCCTCCTCCTCCTCCCACGCCAGAAGCCACCAGTGCCCCCACCTCTGAGTGCAGGGGCGTTATCAGCAGCGACCCTTACTGCTGAGAGTCCTTCCCCCAAGAGGGAATTCCCTCCACCCCCGCGTTCCCTCCTTTCCCTCCCCCGGAAGCAGGCGCCCCAGGATGTAGCCCGGGTGGGAAGGTCCTCTGTGGCACAGGAGCACTTTGCAAACAGCAGGAATCCGTGCCCCTCTCCAGCTGAAAGGACCGAGAATAATCACGCCTCGGTTTTCACAGCGCTTGAGCTGGAGGAGCCAGTTCCTACCCCCAGCCCCCAGCTGTCAATCCTGGGCAAGTCACCCAGACGCTTGGAGTCTTCATGTCCCTGTCAGTGAAGGGGGGACAACAGCCGCTGCCTCCCCGCACTGTCAGGAGGGTGGGAACCCGATGGGACAGGGCTGGCCCCCTGTTGCAATTCCCGTTGCCTGCAGTAGAGGTCACTCGACCCCGTCCTCAGAAGGCAACAACACCCTTCTCGGAACCCCTATTTCCCCATAGGAGCAAGAGGGACAAGGCTAGATGCTGGGTTCCAACAGACACCTCCGAAATAAGGCGTATTCTGTATCTCTCCCCGCCCCTCCGCCCCCGGGACCTGGAAACCTGCTCTTCCCGGCCCAGGGCCCAGAGGCCTGTGTTCAAGAGCTTGAGAGCGAGGCACCTGCCTACTTGCCCTTCCCTGGAGGAAGGCATGGCAGGAAACTGGCCCCAGCAATCCAGCCCAAGAATAACTTCTACAGCCCTAGCTGGTTTGGCTCACTGGATAGAGCATCGGTCTGGGGACTGAAGGGTTCCAGGTTGGATTTCGGTCAAGGGCATGTACCTTGGTTGCAGGCACATCCCCAGTAGGGGGTGTCCAGGAGACAGCTGATAGATGCTTCTATCTCATTGGTGTTCCTAAGTCTCTATCCCTCTTCCTTCCTCTCTGTAAAAAAATCAATAAAATATATTTTTAAAAAGTAACTTCTATAGTACTGACTATATTCCAGTCCCAAGTTTAAGAAATTTGTGTTACTTAATCCCCATAACAAGTTTATAAGATTCTATGTATATTGTATATACATATCTATTTTTGTTAATCCTCACCTGAGGATATTTTTTCATTAGGGAGAGAGAGAGAGACAGAGAGAGAGAGAGAGAGAGAGAGAGAGAGTGAGTCAGAGTCATCAGACATTGATCGGCTGCCTCCCAAACAGACACTGACAGGGAATCAAACCTGCAACCTTTTTGGTGTGTGGGATGACACTTCAACCAACTGAGCCACCTGGCCAGGGCAGAAGCATGATGTTTTTGAGCTTCATTCCTGCTGCAGCCTGTAGTAGCGCCTCCTTTTATTGCTGAGCAGTCCCATGGTGTGGAAATACCAGTTTGTTTATCCATTCACATTCGGGTCGTTCCCACTTCTCAGTTACTAGAAATAATCATCATAAACATTTGCATACAAGCCTTTGTGTGGACATAAGTGTTCATGTTAAAAGTGGAATTTCCAGGTCCTATGGCAAATTCGTGTTTGGCTTTTGAAGAAACTGCCTAACTGTTTTCTCAGCTGGCTCTACTGTACCATTTTACATTTCCATTCATGGCGGTGTTATAAATGAGGAAAGTGAGGGACAGTGACTTTAAGCAAGATTTGCCCAAGGTCACATGGCTAGCAAGTGTCAGAGCCTGGACTCAACCCAGGTCCCAAGTCCATGTTCATAACCCAGAGTCTACCCCATGACAATGAATGGCAGAGGGAAGCCATTCCTTTTTTCTTTTTTCCCCCAACTATATTTTATTGATTTTCCACAGAGAGGAAGGGAGAGGGATAGATAGCTAGAAACATCAATGAGAGAGAATCATTGACTAGCTGCCTCCTGCATACCCCCTACTGGGGATGTGCCCACAACCAAGGTACATGCCCTTGACCGATATCGAACCTGGGACCTTTCAGTCTGCAGACCGACACTCTATCCACTGAGCCAAACCGGTTTCGGCGGGAAGCCATTTCTTGCCCTCCCACACCGCAGCCACCACCGTTTTGCCTATCTTGCTTCTAGAATTTCCTAAGGCAGGATCTGGGCTCCACACCAGCTGGGATGCATCTCCCCTTAACCGTGCCCACGCTGGGCTCTCCTCCTGGAAATGTGCACCTCGGGTGAAGAGCTAAAATTCTGGTTCTGGGTGGGTCTATGCATATTCCAGGCTCATCATTTTACCAGCTGTGTGATCTGGGGGCCAGTTACCTAACCCCACACACACTCAGAAGCTTACCTTCTGGTAAACCAGAGGGAGCCAGGTTATACACAAGCAGACTATATTCCTCCCAGGGAGACAGTGAGGACAAAATGAGAACCCCAGCTGAAACTGATTTGGCTCAGTGGATAGAGCGTCGGTCTGCTGACTGAAAGGTCCCAGGTTCGATTCCAGTCAAGGGCATATACATTAGTTGCGGGCATATCCTCAGTAGGGGGGCTGTGCAAGAGGCAGCTGGTTGATGCTTCTATTATAGCTCTCTCTCCCTTCCTCTCTGTAAAAAATCAATAAAATATATATATTAAAAAAAAAGAAAGAAAGAAATGAGAACTCCATGTTTAGCGCCTGGTCCATGATGCCCTTAATAAGTGCAAGTGCTCTTGGCAATAGCTTAGCCTTTTCCCCTTCTCCTGTCTCTTCCCTTTTCCCATCCCTACGCCACATCCCCAGGAATGGTTCCAGGCTGGCCCTCCTGCCATACTTTCTCCTCTTGCTTAGAATGAGTCCATCCGTCTATTTATCCACCGTCACTGAGCATCCACCTTGTAGCCAGCCTGGGCCGGGCCCTGGAGACTCGGAAATGATGGAGACAGTCTGGTGGGAGAGGTGGGTGTTCCGGCTACTTTGAGAAGTAGCAATAGAGGAACCTTGAGGAGAAGGTCCAGACGGGGGGGCCTTGAGGAGAAGATAACCTTCCACTCTGTTCTAAAGGTGAGCAGGACCACACAAAGGAGGCCTGAGAGAGGAGCTCCCGAAGCAAGCGAGTGCCGGTCCTGCTGCTGCCACCTGCCGCCATCACCAGCCACCTACTCCTGTTAGGTAGAGAGGATGCCCTCAGTGATCCTGTCCCATCTGCCCTCGCAGCGTCATCCTTTATCCCTCTGGTAAGTCTCTCCCATGAAAAAGCCAAATCTTCCCTTGACCCTGTAGGCTCTCGCCCCCATCTCTCCCCCCTCCATAGCCACACTTCCCACCACAGCTGTCTAGACACTATCTTCCTTTTCTCACTTCCCACTGACTCCTCAGCCCACGTCCATCTGCTCCTACCTCCACGGCCATCAGAATAGCTCCTGCTGAGGCCCCGGGGCCTCCGTC